TAGCCGAAATTTTTTCACGAAAGCCCGGTCACTTAGGACGAAGGCATAAAATCGCGGCCTTACTGCGAGGTTTTCGTTAAAAGCCTTCGCTAGTTTAAGACGAGACGAGCCAGCCCATTGTTGTTAATAACGTTATTGAATCATATATTTATAAAAATCACCACAATATTCGAACTTATTTGAAGTGAACCATCAAAATTATTAAAATAAATCGAAATAAATTGACAAATTGACAACACAAATTGCGTGTGCGAGCTAAAGTTCATTTCACCAAACGAGATAGTAGAGGTAAACAAACAGGCGGAGCTTAAAAATTCAGAGGAGGACTGCAAAAATACGAATTAGGCAATTCAAACCACGTGACATTCAAGATGGCGTGGCGGCCACACATGGGCCAAAAAACACAAAAAAATATCTAGTTTCTGCCGGAATTAATAGTTCAGGTACCTAGTCAACAAATATTTTATTAAATAATGAAAATCAAAGTTGTAAGCAAAACTGTATGCAAAATAATTTAAAATACGCATAAAAACATATCCAAAACAAACTTGCTTGGCCGCCACGTCACAATGAATTTTCCGTTTTGACAGATGGATTGAATTGCCTAATTACAACTAATGACATTTATTATTGTCAGGTTGTCATATGAGTCAATAAGTTTAATGTCGTATTTCCTAGTATTTTACAATTATTTAAATAGTGTTTGGTGAATTATTGTTAATTAGTGCGCAATTTAGATTAAAACAATATCAAGTTCAACAAATTCCGCTGAAGAATTCGTTCGGAAATATATTCAGCGAAGAGAAATACAAAACAACCTAGGACGGTCCTGCCTTGGGCGGAGGATAATCCTTCTCTAGCCAATAAAATTCGACTTACCTGTCAAAGTTTGTTTACTGTCACTATCTCGTTTGGTGAAATGAACTTTAGATCTGCGATCGGTACACCCCCATGCGCAAAAGTTGCGAGTGGTGCAAAGTCATATCGCTCGCAGTGCATTTCAAATAAGCCGTGCACCAGTTTTCAATCGCAAATAACGTCATTTGCGTATACGCAAAGTTGCATCAATTTCAAATAAAGCCCCCCTGATTGGTTCAAATCAACAATCAAAACATGTCAGTTTATTGTTGGAATGTTAGTTTTGACAGATGTATGGAATTCTCATAAATATCCTCTAACTACGTCAATGTCAAGAGTAAAATGATGTCAAATTTCTTACCGCCGAAATATTGAAATGTGCTTGGAATCATAATACATCGATGTACCATTTTAACGTTCTCCATCACACTTTCCACAGTTTTAAATCCAAAAATACCACTGATTAACACTCAAAATTACAGAATCAGCTCTATCACTTCACAGCAACACTGCCAAACCCGTTATGGATGACATAAGTCACATAAGATCATTTGATTTCCCGCTCGTAACCGATGTGCCATTTTTCCAGCAATATATTCCTGTGATATTCTAGAATTTTCACCATTTCAAATTAAAACAAGAATATTTATCCTATTCAAAAAGGCATTTAAGTTATGTTTCAACAAAGATTGATATAAAAAAGCATTCACATTATGTTAAAACATATTTTGAAGTAATATTTATCCGTAAAGACATTTAATATTAAAAATCACATCAGATTATTGGCAACCAGGCATTTCATGCAAAAATGGACCTTATGGATGTTGGATCACAAATTATTTGTTTACTGTTATATCTGTCGTTTTTAGTGTGCCCAGTTCTCCATCTGTCACATTTGACAGTTGACATATGTCAATCTTTTTCAACGTCTTATGACGTTTCCGATTCTGAACACCGGGCAGACATATGACGCCCTTTTGTCATATTTTGGCAGCTGACATCTGTCAAAAATTACATTTGACAGCTGTTGAGTATTCCAAATTGTATTATCACCCGAAGTTAAAAGTGTATGCAAAATTTCCGGAAAATTCGTTGCGAATAAATAGTTCAAAAATATGCACCAATCACATTTGACAGTTGACACCTGTCATTTGTGATCTAAAATGTATTATCATCCAAACTCAAAGTGTATACAAAATTTCAGCAAAATTTGTTGCGAAGAAATGGTTTAAAAATCTGCATTTGTCACAATTTGACAGTTGACACATGTCATGTGTATTCACCACTGGAGCCGCATTTCGCGCACAGCGTCATAGAAACGTTAAAAAAAATACATGAGAAAAAAAGTGTCAGGTCGCAAATTGTCATTAATGTGCAAACATCATCTTCTTTTGGCAGTTGTAGGAAAAATAGCTTTATTTACGACTAATGTATAATATAAGTATTATACTTGTGATTTTGGCAGTATATTGCCATATGTTATTCCCGCAGGGAGTAATGACGAGTAGAGGGATTAATGGTTATTATTTCGCAAAAGTGTCAGTGTCAAACGTGTAGTGCTTGTGGATTTGTATTGAGATGGATGAAATTTGTTCATTAAAAATCTCAAATAAATTAGTTTGTCGTGAATAAATTAGAGTACACTACTCGCAATAATGGCTATTATTCCCTCGGAATGTTAATCCATCGCCGCTAACGCGGCTCATTTCGTAAATATTCCTCGGGAATAATAGCTATCATTATTGACTTGTGGTACATATAATCTACTATTATCGCATTTTTGACAATAATGTGATACATGATAAGTACTTCATTCAAAATTGAGTACTACAGTTCCACTTTACACCATGGTAACACTTTACCACATAGCAACCATTACCAGTTCTTTTTGATCTTCTCACTTATAACTTTTAGCAGTTTCCAGGTAACCGAGAAAAACAACCAACCTGAAATTGGCCACCATGTCTGTTGAAAATGTCATTTCAAAAAATATTTTTATGTCATGTCGAAAGTAAAAACATTTTTTCAACAATTTATAGACATGCGATGAAAAAGTGTAAGCAACGCGTTAGCAAAGGGTTTTTCCAATTTCGTGAGGCCTTAGAGCCTACGCTCGTTTCGCTCCCTCGTACACAAAACTGGCCACACTCACTCAATAAGGAACTTGTACATTAAATTGAAAATGAAATAAATAATAAAACACAATAACAAACATCCTTATAAATGATGCAATAAGGGAAAAAAAAATAATATCTTATCTTCGTGTCCAAAATCTTCTACTGACTATTTCACTAGTGTTTTACACTGGCAAAATGTCATAGGAACGACCGGTTTCCAACTGACAAAACTCCTACCTGTTCCTACCTAGACAAAACCAACATGATGGTTTTTCAGCGCAAAAATTTTGTGTGGTTAATGTCAAAAACTATTGAGTTACTTTGATAAGTGTCACTTGAAGAAAATAAATTTTGCCAACAAATTTTTTTCTCTTGTGGTATTTATTATACAGTGTGTCCACTTAAGTTCGCAGCACATGGGAAACTTTTCTATTATCAATTTTACGAAAAAAAGTTATTCTTTATAAAAGTTTCTGCTTCTTGAAAAAATAATATTAAACTACTAAAACATGAAATAGCATGTACAGGGTGGTCAAAAAATAGAAAAATATACAGCATGTTTCCTAAGTACGGTTCGTAACTTCAGGATGTGATTCCTTACAATATTTTAAGAAAAAAGTTCCCATCGACATGTGTCCGGAAATGCGTCATTTCTGAGATACAAGGTGTCAAAGTTTTACAAAAAATCGTTTTTTTTAGCTCAAAAATCGATTTTCCAATTTTTTTTTTTTTCAAATTTGGCAGGTCTGTTAGTGGTAAAGAAAGGTATCTTTTGACTGTAATAGGACTTGCTGAATCTAAAAAAATATATCAAAGCTTTTAAAAAATAGTGACGTGCCATTTTTTTCTACTTTCACCGTTCTGTATATTTTTCTATTTTTTGACCACCCTGTACTTGCTATTCCAATTTTTAATAGTTCAATACAATTTTTTCAAGAAGCAGAAACTTTTATAAAGAATAACTTTTTTTCGTGAAATTGATAATAAAAAAGCTTCCCACATGCTGCGAACTTAAGTGGACACACATATGAAAATACCAAATAATTCGAAATTCATGATGCGATCTAAAACGTGTTTCTATGGGTCATGACGTCACAAGATCGGGTCGCGCCGCCGTCACGCTATGCGCTGCTGGTGTCGCCATTGTCAAATATATGTTGAACGCAAGGTTTAAACATCATAAACGCAATGCATAAACGGCATACATGATAACATAACCATAATCTAAATCTACCTGCTTGAAGTTCGAAGTGTTCGTTACTGTCAACAGAATTTTGTTGCGGAGTGACGTCCCACTAATCGGTCGTTTCAAATGGCGATGTTTCGAGCGTTAACTCCAAATATTTATGAAAAATTAACGGCTGATTTTTAATGCTCGATATTTGGCATGACTAAAGCTGCTTACGAACTGGCACTTTTCTCATCTAAGTTAAAGTTGGTTTCTGACCTGAGCTAAGTTGTTACTTGTACGTGCAATTTATGTAAGCTTATCATTTCTTCGTTCTTAAATTTTAAAACGGACTTTGAAAGTTTCATATTTCATTTGGTGTATTGTGCAAATATTTAATTTCATTAACACACTAAACACCTCTTCAAGTTTTCCTGTTCCAACTTTCAACAAAAATAAACAATCGTTACCTCAAATTAGAAATTATAATTAAACGTCAAAAATTCAAAAAATACGTATTTCGCGCCAACTGAGGTCAGCTAAGGCATCTCAGTCAAAAATCCAGGTGTCTTAGCAGGGGCAAGGGGGGAGGGCAGATTCTAACTTAGTTGTGACAAATCGTACGCGCAACTTAGTTAGATTCTTCAAGTTAGGTGAGAAAAGTGCTAGTTCGTAAGCAGCTTAGAACACATTTTTGAAATAAAAAAAAAATGTGCAAGTTCCCTATTGGTAAAACCTCACTTCACTAAACTTGGTGCTTCAATATACTATTATTGATTAACTTGAGGATTAACTGAATAAATTGAAAAAAATAAAGAAAAAAATAAACATGTGAGGCCACACACATAGAAAAAAGTTCAATTATTTGTGTGCCTATTAAAAAAAAAAGTACATATAGGGCAACAATATTTTGAAGGAAGTTCTTCTGTGTTGTCAATATTCAAACATCTCAACATATACCACCTAATGCAATGATCGCATTGGACCCAATCAATTTTTAGATCAGTTGAGGTGATATTCAACGTGTCCTCACCACAAACTACACACTTATCTTTCATGTCAGAGGCTTCCCTCAAAAGTAATTCTTTTAAGAAAAACCTCTGATCTTCTGGTTCGAGGCAAGTACACAAATTCTCATCTCCATTGATAATTTTGACAGCAAAGGAGGTGACATAAGGTCCACAGCTGCAACTATCTTTTTGTTTGGGATGGAAAAGTATCTTAGGAGTCCATCCATTTTCTGATATGGAACATTTTTTCAAAAATACACTCATTTTATTTTTGGTTTCTGTCAAAGACGATCCTGTTGGGTTAATGTAATAAAACAGTTTTTGATTCACATTACAAACCACTAAACACCAGTGACACTGACTTTGAAGATCTAGACAAATTATTTGTTTTTTGTTGCTAATTTTCATCCCACTTTCTTTAAACTTGTATGATCCTAAAGTAAATATTTTGTGAGCATGGTGTTGTGGAATGTAATTTATGTCACGGTTTTTTGTCAGGATGTGAAAGACTATGTCTAAAGCCCAGTTGGTGAACCAATTATTTCCGGATAAACTTTGGAAATCAATGGAATCTAATTTTTCAAAAGGTTCGGCACCAGGATAAATTCCCACAATAAACTTGAAATCTTTGAAATTATAGTAGTTCACATCACTGACATTTCCGTTAGGATATAATTTCAAAAGAGCATCTGGTGCGCTGTGTTCTTGAACAAGATTTGGAGGTTCTCGATCGAAGGGTGCGAGTTCTTGAACAAGGGTCAGCAGTCTGTCCTTAGTTTTCAAAATTTTTGAAGAAGGTCCAAAATATGTGGCTCCTTTTGGCTTTCTTTTTTTACGCCATGTTTCCACCACCTCCATTGTTAGGTTTTTATCGATGTTTTTCTTTTTTCCCCGTGTACATCTGTTTTTAGGTATATCTAAAGTAAGCTGTTTGTGTGTAGCCAAAACAAGCTCTCTCGAATACCTAAGAAACCTACTGCAGCGAAGATTTTTTTGGGGTATAAGAGTATTTTTCACTTTATTGAAATGGTTTTCAACCGGAGCATTGCTGTATCTTCTCATAGTCTCGTCTGTAATAATGTTGGTCCAAAGAGGCAAAAATGTTATGTATTTCTTTAAAATAACTGGCGAAAGATCCGGCAAATAATAGGGATTATTAACATCGGTTTCTGAAATAGGTCTATTAGATTCGTTGCAGGACTCATAAATTTTTAGAAAATGTTGATAAAACTTCGATTTTTTATATAGAGAAGATACCTGTTCTGGCTCGGAATCAGTTATACAACCAAAATTATCTCTGAAATTCTCATCTGTTTCAACAAGGACTTCGTTGTTAATATTGGAAACAATGTCAGCTATTGATCTAGTGTATCGGGGCTCTATTGTCAACTTCACTAAATCTGAAAACCATTTCTCCAGTGATTTTAGATTTGCCATCATAAATGCGGATGCAATTGTTTTTTTGTACAGACTTTTTTGGACTTTCTTGAATCTTTTTTCATCTGAACACAATTTTTCGATATCTGAAGCTATATTTTTCATCAAATGACAGACACACACTTTCAAAATACATATTGCTTCACACGGTATATTTTCATGTAAGCTATTGTAGCAAATATTGAGATATTCACTTATATCATTAAGTCTATTCCAATAATAGTTGACTGCATTCATTAGAGCAAAACTGAAGTCCGTCACAATTGTGGAAAATATTGGCCATTTTAATTTGTTCTTCATGCAGTATGCCTGAAAAGCGTTTAACCAACTACCTATTGAAAAAGCATCATGCATACTGGTTATTAATTCCAGTATTGGGCAAATAGTCGCAGTGCTGCTGTGCCAAACTACACCTGCATAATAAAAAATTTTTTGGGGGTTTTTAATGTGAGGAGGCTGATGTACGATTTGCCCTGTTGCATCTAAGTGTAAAACAATTTTGTTCTGACCTTTTTTGATAAAATTTAAAATATCTAATTGTTCGGCACTAAAAATGTAAACCGTAAGAGGTTCAAAAACCCGATAAATGTACGAATTTTCACGTGCCATTAAAATTAGATCAAAAATTTCATCTTGATGCCTATCTAGTTTAGAAACTTCTTCGTGCCTTATCTTCCGATATACATCTTCTGACTTGATATCACGAAGGTTTCCATTTAAAATTTGTGAACTAGGAGTTTTCAATTTTTCATCTAACCTCTTCATGAAAGGGTTACTGTGAGCGAGATCTTCCCCTATTAGTTTTCTTTCTGATTTTCGAGCGTATGTAGTTAGTCGCGCTTGTGGAGAATGATTGAAATTTAGGGAAGAACTGAAAACTGAACAATTCACAATATTATCTGACTTTTCTATTTTTAGAACGAAAGTTTTGCATTTTTTATGTGCACAGTACCCATAGATAGTGTACTTTCTAAAATTAGAATTGACAGATACTTTTTTAAAGTTCAAAACACAGGTGTTATTAATTTCTTCGAATTTTCTTTTTATTATTAAATAGTAATCTGCAAGTTTTTTATTTTCATTGGTAATATTTGCCAGCTCGTTATAGGTTAATTGAAATACGCCTTCCAGAAAAGTACAATTATTAAATTTAATGCCTGCTCTGGTTAAATTACCATCATTCACAGAACCTATTGGTAATACAATTATGTTATTAGGACGTTTTTTATAAAATTCTGAAATTACTTCATTTTTATATCGATTCAAAGTAATGTCCTTAGTCTTTGGAGTGTAAATGATATTACTTTTATTTGCATTAGAATAATATTGGTAAGAGGAAACCGGTGTAGACTGCTGGTAGATGGGAAGTTTTGTTCGAGTATCACTATAATGAAAAGTGGCGCTATCAGGAGTATCAGTTTTAGGAAACTCTTTATCGTTAGATGTTTGAGCCGTTTGAGATGATGTCAAGGACGACGAACAAATAGATGCGTTTTGTTCATGTGACGTGTCACTAGAACTAGAAGCTATTGAAGATGATGATGAAATATGATATATATTCGATTTTCGGGGCTTAGATGTGTTACTAGAACTAGAAACTATTGATGATGATGATGAAGATGAAATACGATAGATATTTGATTTTCGGTGCTTGGATAGGTTTTTCAGGTTCAAAGACGAGGTTTCAGATGAATTGAGTTCACCTTGGTTTAATTCTTCGCCGCTATCGAAATTACTTTTTTCTTCGGACAACTGGAAAAAAATGTCATAAAAATTAGGCATAAGGGGTGATTTACATAGACCGTGCATTAGCTTGCAGTTGGATTAGAAGCTATCTCTACTTAATCTACCAATGCACATGGCACATAAATTAGGGTGTATAGATATAGTTGCCTTTGAAGAGGTGAAAGTTAACTAACTGACCAATGGGTAACCATGCCAAATAGTTACCTACTATGTTATTTGTATATTTGTTGTTCTCGAGGCCAGTGTTTATAGGCACTGATTTGGGAACCATTACATTATATAAATTCTATTGTAATATTTGGTTGAATAAACGGTATTTCAAAAAAAAAATAATAGAAAAAATCAAATTGCCCAAATTGACCTATTTTTTCTGAATCTTATGCCCAAACTAACCCAAGCCTGACAAGAAAACATATGATCTTCGCGAATGTCAAATTATACAAAAGTTGCAATTTTTGAAATGGATTCTGTAATATAAGGTCATTAAGGGCCGGTATTATAATGTCCGGTATTATAATGCTTAGGTACGATAAGTAGCTTAGGTTGAAACTCAACTTTCGGTCAATCAGTCAATCGGACAGGACATTATAATACCGGCCCAAACTCGTTTGCTAGATTTTTTTATGCTGACTTTAAAAATATAAGATTATTGTCTCTAAAATTTTTTCTCAATAAAACGGCGTTGTCAAAAATATTGTCTTTGAGAAAAAGCAACTACCTTGTATCTACATGCGCTACACTTACGAACTACGAACTGCTCCATTTTAAAAAGCTGCCGCACTTGAAATTTGACATTTGAGTACTATACGCTTTTGTAATGTTGGCCAATCCCTTTTGCTATGATAGTTTATTGTCAAAATCTTGGACAACTATCAACTAATTAGACAGAAGACACAAGGTTTGGCAACTATAAAATTGAAGGTTTTTCTATCTCTTTTTGGTTTCCTATATCATAATAATTTAATATCTAAATCTTGCAATATTTACTTACTTCATTTTTTTCGTCATCTGCTAACTCGGATGTTGCATATTTGGATGATGTTGATGTAAACAAGTGATTTCTTTTAATTACCATTGATACTTTCAGTCTGTTTTTATAAATGTTTCCGTCTAATCGAAGAATGTTACACATTTTGTTGTAAAAACCTAAATGATCAGCTCTACAATTTGAAAAAAAATCTTCTTTGGTTGGTTTTAGACTTTCCAAGGCATCTTTGACGTCTTTTATGAAGGGAAGATTTTTCTTTGGCATGTTTTATTTCTTTCAGAAATTCTAACCTAGCCGAGTACAGAAAACTGATTTTATAAAAGTCATAAAGAGTAGGTACTAGTCCAGGAGGCAGTGAAATTTTTCAGCACTTATTTTCCCAGTTGGTGTCTTTTAAATAGTTTGTTCTCTTGGTGAAACAAAACAAGAATTTTCAGTCTAGACAAAATTTTCGGATGGGTTCACAGTTCCCAAGATCAATGAAAAATACAAGTGCACTTATTTTCCTAGACATAAATGTTTCACATTTACTACAATAGAACATAAAGTATATGAAAATAACAATTTGGCTTATCTCAGATAGTGGAAAGTGAGTCTGGCTGAAAATATTCGGAACTTCAATCTTTTATTTTCCAGACATATTATCCATACTCACAGATTAGCCGGACTTTTTTTTCACGTAATTTCAGTATACATCTCATTAGTAGACCTATTTCTATCACTGACAAAAAGGGCCGTGAATTCGTAAGCTTTAATGCATTTTGCGCTTCAACCCATCGGAAAACACCCTAAAAATATATGAATTTTGCTTAGAATTACTAACCCTACAATTCTATCCATGGTTGTCTGACTGGGAAAATAAGTACCGAAAATTGTCACTGCGTCCTAGACTGTACATACCTATATGCATAATAGGCATCCACTAAAAAATCATAAAAAATTAGCGTTGTAGCAAGGAAATGTTTTTTCTAAATTGAGAGAGGGCATATTAAATTAAAATATGTAGTTAAAATGTGACCCTTCGTTTTTCGTTTTCATGTAGGTTTTACTATATTTTTCATAATCATCCAAGACCGTTATTTGAGTTATTGGTGTTTCGTTCTAGATTTTTCGTCTACTGCAGATACCTCTTAATATGACAAAAAAAAACACTCTCCCGGCAAGCGGCCGTTATTTTAACAGCCGCCGGCCTGTTATTTATATTTAACCGGCCCGCGGATAAATAATGGCAGGTGATCGTTAAATATACCATTTCGATTTCAATTTCGCTCATGTTCTGCTAAGATAACAGTACAGTATCACGAGAAATGGATTTCATGGTTTAATGTTAGTTTGACACCTTAAAATGAGACGTTGTTTTGACACCCGAAAATGAGAAAATTACAAAGTGACCCTAAATTTAGGTGTGCGTTTTTGAGATTAAAATGCACTATTTTTAGTTGTTTCAGAATTTTCGAAAATAAAAGTACATTATGATATAAGTGTATAAGAGGGCATTTAAAGCACGCGCGACATATTTCAAAACACGACGCGCAGCGGAGTGTTTTGTAAGTCGCAAGGGCTTTAAATGCTCTTATACACGCATATCATACACTATTTTTTATTACGAATGCATCATAATCTCAAAAATGGTTTAAATGTGTCCTTTCATTTTGAGAAATAGTAATTCACACGGCAGGTAAATATCTAGGTGATAAAGGTAGATCAAACGTTTCTATAGCAAACCTTTGAAAAGGTAGGCGCATCATAAACATCGTTTTATGCACGCTGCAGCGTGCGATAATCGTTGATTATGATGCATGCGTAATAAAAATACTTTTTTCTACAAACGTGTTAAAAATGCAATTTTTAACACCCCATTTATTTCAATTTCGAAAGGTGGCCAAACAATAATCATGGCTGAACGAACATGCGAACAATCGATGGGAAAACAAACTGAAATTTCAGATTGTTTCTCGAATTGTTCATTGTTATAAATGGGCCTCTTTCTGAATAATGCGCACATGCCCAAATCGGCATAGCCACAAAAATCGTTATTAAATACGTTTTTCACTGGTCCAAAATGCTCTTATTCATTTCCTTGCTACTTATTATACCGCTACCACCGCTGCACTCAGCAACTCATTTATTTATTGTTAAAAAATGCTAATATGATAGTAGATACTTACCAAAAATAAGTAGATAAATTTCACAATTTTGAAGGATTATAATTTTCCATAAAATAAACCCTGGCTTCTTTCAAAAATCGATGTAAAATAGAGGTAAATCGTAATATAATTATATTATACCCGTCAATAAGATCAGAACCGTTCCGTAGAAAGTATAAAAAATTGTGACAAAGGTAAACAAACCAAAAGAAATATAATTGATTCTTGGAAATAAAAATATTCGACGTCTGGCTCCCCACCTTGAAATTCTGAGGAATAACTTTGGATTTGAATGCAGAGTTGGGCGCGTTCGGGTTCAAAAAATATTGATAGTACTTGCACTCTCAAATAGGTACATATGCCACGAAAAATCCTGGAGTTAAATTTATGAAATTAAGGGCGGGTATTATAAAACTGCTTTGACAGTTAACTTAAAGTTAACTTTTTGAATTACATGTATTTTCAGAAGTTAACTTTAAGTTAACTCTCAAAGTAGTTTTATAATACCCGCCCTGAGTTTTGCAAAATTAATAAAGCAACATCCGGCAACAGGGTCTAGGACGCCGGGACGTCGAATTTGTTAACTGCAGGTGGATGATTGATACGTGATTGGCTGCAGCTGAGCAGTTTGAGCGCCAGCCATTGGACGCCAGCAGACATCCCACCACTTTATGCCCAATATTACTATTAGCGTAGTTGTAATATGTATAATAATTAAAATAATGATTAATCAAAAATAATCAATAATGAAGAAAAAAACCATAAAGAATCGAATAATTAATATACTTAATTTAATTTATTAATCGATGATAATTGACCAATCGAGAATATTCGATAATCAATTAATGGACAATAATCCAGTACTGGATTATTTATTTTCATAATCGCCCAGCCCTACTGGGGGTTCATTTGACGTCTTTTCAATCATTCTTCGATACTATATCACAATTTAAGTGAAGCAGTACTTTGAAGTTTGAGAGAATAAAAAAAATCCTATGTTTTTGACACTTTATTTGGGTGTCTCCCTTATCAGAGGAATAGGGGAGTTAAACCTAGGTTTATTTGACGTCTTTTCAATCACTCTTCGATATTCTATCACAATTTAAGTGAAACAATACCTTGAAGTTTGAGAAAATTGAAAAAATCCTATGTTTTTGACATTTTATTTGGGTATCTCCCTTATCAGAGGGATAGGGGAGTTAAACCTAGGTTTATTTGACGTCTTTTCAATCACTCTTCGATATTCTATCACAATTTAAGTGAAACAATACCTTGAAGTGTGAGAAAATTGAAAAATCCTCTTTTTTTGACATTTTATGCGGGTATCTCCCTTATCAGAGGGGTAGGGGGGTTAAATCTAGGCTCATTTGACGTCTTTTCAATCACTCTTCGATATTCTATTACAATTTAAGTGAAACAATACCTTGAAGTGTGAGAAAATTGAAAAAATCCTATTTTTTTGACATTTTATGTGGGTATCTCCCTTATCAGAGGGGTAGGGGGGTTAAATCTAGGTTCATTTGACGTCTTTTTAATCACTCTTCGACATTCTATTACAATTTAAGTGAAACAATACCTTGAAGTGTGAGAAAATTGAAAAAATCCTATTTTTTTGACATTTTATGTGGGTATCTCCCTTATCAGAGGGGTAGGGGGGTTAAATCTAGGTTCATTTGACGTCTTTTTAATCACTCTTCGACATTCTATTACAATTTAAGTGAAACAATACCTTGAAGTGTGAGAAAATTGAAAAAATCCTATTTTTTTGACATTTTATGTGGGTATCTCCCTTATCAGAGGGGTAGGGGGGTTAAATCTAGGCTCATTTGACGTCTCTTCAATCACTCTTCGATATTCTATTACAATTTAAGTGAAACAATACCTTGAAGTGTGAGAAAATTGAAAAAATCCTATTTTTTGACATTTTATTTGGGTATCTTCCTTATCAGAGGGGAAGGGGGGTTAAATCTAGGTTTATTTGACGTCTTTTCAATCACTCTTCGATATTCTATTACAATTTAAGTGAAACAATACCTTGAAGTGTGAGAAAATTGAAAAAATCCTATTTTTTTGACATTTTATTTGGGTATCTTCCTTATCAGAGGGGGAGGGGGGTTAAATCTAGGTTTATTTGACGTCTTTTCAATCACTCTTCGATATTCTATTACAATTTAAGTGAAACAATACCTTGAAGTGTGAGAAAATTGAAAAAATCCTATTTTTTTGACATTTTATGTGGGTATCTCCCTTATCAGAGGGGTAGGGGGGTTAAATCTAGGCTCATTTGACGTCTTTTCAATCACTCTTCGATATTCTATTACAATTTAAGTGAAACAATACCTTGAAGTGTGAGAAAATTGAAAAAATCCTCTTTTTTTGACATTTTATGTGGGTATCTCCCTTATCAGAGGGGTAGGGGGGTTAAATCTAGGCTCATTTGACGTCTTTTCAATCACTCTTCGATATTCTATTACAATTTAAGTGAAACAATACCTTGAAGTGTGAGAAAATTGAAAAAATCCTATTTTTTTGACATTTTATTTGGGTATCTTCCTTATCAGAGGGGGAGGGGGGTTAAATCTAGGTTTATTTGACGTCTTTTCAATCACTCTTCGATATTCTATTACAATTTAAGTGAAACAATACCTTGAAGTGTGAGAAAATTGAAAAAATCCTATTTTTTTGACATTTTATGTGGGTATCTCCCTTATCAGAGGGGTAGGGGGGTTAAATCTAGGCTCATTTGACGTCTTTTCAATCACTCTTCGATATTCTATTACAATTTAAGTGAAACAATACCTTGAAGTGTGAGAAAATTGAAAAAATCCTATTTTTTTGACATTTTATGTGGGTATCTCCCTTATCAGAGGGGTAGGGGGGTTAAATCTAGGTTCATTTGACGTCTTTTTAATCACTCTTCGACATTCTATTACAATTTAAGTGAAACAATACCTTGAAGTTTGAGAAAATTGAAAAAATCCTATTTTTTTGAAATTTTATTTGGGTATTTCTCTTATCAGAGGGGAAGGGGGGTTAAATCTAGGTTCATTTGACGTCTTTTCAATCACTCTTCGATATTCTATTACAATTTAAGTGAAACAATACCTTGAAGTGTGA